CTGATGTAGAGATAGGTTCTTCCAACCAAGTTTTGTGTTCTGCTGATAATGGTGTTTAATCGGGTACTGTTGTAAAAAGGTTTTCATAAGAGTTTCTCACAGGAGCATCTGATTTATACAATGTTTTATAATATTCCAGGAATGCTTCAGAAATGTCTTTAACAGTGTGGACTAGTTGGCGCGATTTATTCTTGATAACATGAATGGCATTGTCACTGATTTTCTTCTTGAATTTCCACGCTAATAATTTTATTGATTGAGGTGTTTTATACCAGTATTTTTGTTTAATGTATGCAATTCTTTTTTGTATTTGAGATATTTCTATGGTTTCAAGTTTTCTCCTTTCTAAGACAAGTGATTTGTAAATGTGTTTATTTCCAAATTTCTGGAATTCCTCTTCTAAGTGTTTGATTTTGTCCATCATTTCTTGTTTTAACATTTGTTTTTCTTTCTTATAGGTGGATGCAATTGCTATTAATTTGCCTCATACTACTGCTTTCAAGGTGTCCCATACTATGTGGGGCGATACTCCACATGAGGCATTGTGCTTCATAAAGTCTTTAATTTCCTCTTCTACTGATTCTGTAATTGATTGTCACAATAAAATTTTTGAATCCAGTCTCCAATTATATGATTTTGGTGTTTTATCTCTGTCTTCCATTATACTCTCCACCCATGAGTGATCTGACCAGATTCTCGCTCCGATGTTTGCTTCAGAAAAAAAGTATGATATGGAAGAAGACGCCAGAATATAATCTATTCTGGTATGAGTTTGAAATCTAGATGAAAAATATGTATAATCTTTAAGAGTTGGATTCCGGTATCTCCAGATGTCGACTAAGTTGAACTGACGTAAAAGATGACTTAATCCGGTTTGATTGGATGTACTGGACCGTGCTTTTCGTTGTTGTTTTTTTCCAAGGATGATTTGTCTAGTGAGTTATCAAGAATATAATTAAGGTCACCACCTATTATACATGGAGCTGTACTGAATAGTTCAAGTTGCAGTAAGGTGTTTCGTATAAAATCCAACTGATTTTCATTAGGCGCATATATAGATGCTAAAGTGACATCACTTCCATTTAAAGAGCCATTCAAAAAAATGAATCTACCTGTTTTATCGCATTCCATTTTATTCAGTTTAAATCTTATGGATTTTTGAATCAATATGGCTATGCCTCGGGATTTTGATGTGCCTTGTGCTTGGAATTAGTGTGCAAATTTAGTAGAGGAAAACACTTTGTTATGGTTGTTTTTAAGATGAGTTTCTTGTAAAAAAAATGACATTGGCGTTTTATCTTAAAAGTGCAGACATTACTTGTTTTTTCTTAATGGGTGAATTTAAGCCCCTGCAATTCAGTGAAAGAAATTTGATATTATTGTCTAATTTTTTAGCCATTGTCAATGTGAAGGGTGTTTGTTACAAAAGATTTTCTCCATAGTATATTCCAGTCAATATTCTTAAGCCATATAACTAAAAATGAGTTTGGTTTGAATTAGAAAGAATGAGTATTTGTAAGCATACTCTTCGTGTAGTTGCACCTGTTTCCTTATAGCTCGTAAAAAACCTTAAAAATTCTAATTAAATACAGAGTCATCTCTTGGGCTCTGTAGTCCCTTTTCTGCAGGGATTGCATAATAAACATAGAAAGTTGTTGAATAAAAAATATACAGGGCCCCTTAAATGTCTCCCCGTTCCCCCCTGATGTATACTCAGTATGATTTAAATTAATTATAATGTAGTTTTTAAAAGATATTTTTGTTATATAATCAACATTCTTGAATAATAAGATCACCTTAATGATTTTAACAATTAACTTAAATGAACTCTAAAAGCTGGCATTGTGAAACAGATGTAATAACTAGTAAAAAACCATTTTAACATCATTTCAGATCAAGGCATAATGGAGAGCATTATAGGTAAACAACACATTATAAATTAAATGATACCTGTTTATTACAATGCTTTGTTGTTAAAGAGTAGTGTATGTCTTATTATCTTAAAAAGAAATATAGTTATGCCATACTTTATGTTCCTAAATAGTATTCATGCATTGTTAACATGATAAAACATTTCATAAACAATTATAACCTTTGTAAATTGGCAGGAACAGATAACAATAATCCTAATGTTATCACATTGTATAGTATTCAGTTGGAATTAGCATCTTAATAAAGAGTGCTGCCAATAAATTTCTCTCTACAAGAGTAAATATTTCCTGTTTGTTTTGTTCCCTTGTTGTTAAGTAATATCTTGTGATTCATTATTTTAAGACAAAGAAAAAATCTGTTATTTCTTGTGGTTTTGGATTATATTAATTAATAAATCAATCAACCAATTAATCAAGTAATCAGTCAATATATCTTTCAGGAGTAATTATGACCTTTGCAGATAGCAGGGAACAATTTATAGCATCCTTTGTATTAGCACAATATAAAATTTCCCTTGTAGATTAACATCCCAAGTTAATATTTTGCTATTCATTTATTGCTGAAATTAAAAACACTCAAACAACTTTGCTAACCTATTTTTCCTGACTAATTATTAGTTGTTAGTATAGTATATAAAAATAATTATTAACATCTGTTATACAAACATATTATAAAAACTCTTATAGTAAATGCCGCGGTAGGTAAAAGATTCTTTCGAATGTTGAAGTTAATGCTCTTTAAGGGGAAATCAGGCAGGAGTCATTCGTTCAGGCGTCCATTCCTTTCCGCTCCAATGCCACGTCCCCTCCAGTCTTAATTTAAGGTGGTTTTAACTAACAAAGCCTCTAGTATAGGTTAGGACTAGAGTAATGACAGGACCAGTTGCCATCTGACAGCCCTCCCTTTGCACCCCCCACAACCACCCTTGTGTTTAAAGTAAGATGGCAGACTACAAAGGACGCCACAATTTCAGTGGCTGCCACACCCATTTTAAATGATCTTTCTCTGCATGCGTCTGACACCACCATCACTGGTCTTTAGGCACCAAGCCCAGATGTTTTTATTTTAAACTGCTTTTAACTAATTGGTTGGTTTGAGGAATATATATGAACACTTGGAGAACTATTACCAGAGAGCAAAGAAAATTAAGATGAGATAGTATTCAAATATTTTTAAAGGATGTGTTCAGGAGCTGGTCAGGAAAAGTACAGGACTGCCTCTTGACAGTTCATTAGTGTAGCCGAAGAAATAGATTGATTGCTCCTTAATTGTGAACAAGTGCCAATTTTAGACGTATAACCTTGCTTTTAGCATTTAATGAGAGTTATCAAGATGTATTCTAGTCTACCTGTTGCTTATCTTCATAATTCCTTTGGAGGCCAATTGATTTATTAGAGGACAATCACGTGTTGGAGTTAGAAAGATTTATTTCTGGTCCTGTCACACTCTCTACAAAAATGTGTCGTGTAAGGGAGCTAATCAGGCTTTCTGCTGATGTCTTTTAATCAGAGAAGATCTTATCTAGGTAAGCACAATCATGTTCAGGGCTTCCATATTTTACACACCATTCTGCCAATCAGCTAGAAATCTCATTTATACTTACCAAGTTGTTGCCTAATAAAAAGAGTTATGCTTTATTTTAAATAAAACCATTAACTAAAGATGTCTTCTATTCTGCTGGCAAAAGATCAGACGTCAAAAACTGTAATATTTCATTGTGCTCCAAGAGATAAGTCTTGCTCATAAAGTTTGCCTGGTACAGACCTAATAATTGGCGATCTGGCAGCGGCATAGGCTAATGAGCCTAGAGCTGAGTGGTACAGATCTCTAGAATGCGTGCAAATTAGATAATCTATCACAATGTTGGAAAGAAGCAATAACTGTGCTCATGGAAAGATGTGTGCAAAGTGTTTAAACCACAGAGAAATGTATTCTTGATTATACAATAGGAAGCATTTCTCAGCTCTTAGTCTTGGGCAGGACCATGGCTCAGTGATACAGCATGGCATGTAGACAGTCCCAGGTTCAATCTCCGGCTTCTCCAGTTATAGGAATCAGGTTGTAGAAGATGTGAAAGACCTCTACTGGAGACCCTGGAGAGCTGCTGCCAGTCTGAGTAGACAGATTCAGTATAAGGCAGCTTTATTTGTGTGTGTTCATACTTTTGCCTGTTAACAAGGTATCATGTGGAAAGAAACCTTTCACTGGCTGCTTGTCCCAAAAATCAAAACAAAAAAACAAACAACACTATAGACAGCTGTGACTCAAGATCCTTCCATCTCTTGTCTTGCTGCATACTTCTGCCTAGGAGAGATGCTCCAGTGCTTCTCCTCCCCACAGAAGTGCAGTGAGAACAAAGATGCTGAGTCAGAACATTCTCTCTCTTGCAGAAATCAGCAAGATGTTGGATTACTCTCTCTCGCAGAAATCAGCAAGATGTTGGACTGCCATGAGGATAACAGTTACCTGTACCTGCTATTAGGACTGACAATCTCTACAGCCACTGTGAAGTTTCTTTCGATGTGATGCATCGCTAAGAGCCAAACATGTGAACTGATACATGGATGGGATTCAGAGTCCCACCAGTACAGAGGCTTCCTTGTCTGTGAGCTCTCATTAAGAGAATCAAGGGTTTCCTTCTTACAGAATACTATAAATCTAAGCTACTGAATCATAGATATTCAGGCATGGAACAAGAGTGTGTAATCTTTTCCCCTGGAAATTATAATGAAATCACTCTGGACCTACATTAAAGCGTTGTTGAAAAGATTACAAAGATAATGTATGTGAAGTGCTCTAAGCATCTGGTAAAAATCTGTGGCTGCAGTCCTTAACCACTGAAATCTTGCTCTGCTCTCATGCCACTGTCTAACGTTTTACCAGATTGTGCCTATATTTCTACCATTTCACTGCAGTCACGAAAGCTTAGAAACCTTCTTTAAAAAACATAAACAGTTTCATGGCGGTAATTGAAACAATACCATATTTGGCAATCACATAGCACACATATAATGATTGAAAATATTTGTATACTTTGTTCCAGGATAGTTACTACTGAGTCCTTTTACCTGGCTCAGTGGTGATCACCATGCCTGGCTGGAGTGGGATTGAGCGGGATATGTCAGGGGTATCATGAACATCCATTCCCAGATAATGTCCTACATGGTGTGGGCAGTATTTCCGAACAGCCTAGAAGGCAATGAAAAATAATACATTAACAAACCAAACAAGTGCAGACGTCTGCCCAGGATGGACAACAGCATTGAACTTGATACTGGAAACGTACACTGGCATAGTTCAGATGCAATGATGAACCTTGATCTGAATGAACCTGGGAGATACTTCAGTTCACACACTCCCTCCTCTCCTAATGCATGACGTAAATACCCTGTTTCCCCCAAAATAAGACAATGTCTTATATAAATTTTTGCTCCCAAAGATGCGCTAGGTCTTATTTTCAGGGGATGTCTTATTTTTCCATGAAGAAGAATACGGTACACTCCGTCAGGGCAGAGCGAGCAGCAGGCGGCAGCTTGTCCTGGTGGCAGCGCAGGCTCTCTGATTAAAAGAGACCTCGCACTTCCTGTCTGCTCCGGCTGCGCGGCGGCCAACAGTGAGCTGCACGGCGGCACCTGCCGCTACGGCCCAGAGTCCAGAGTTACGGTAGCTTCGGGGGGCCTTATTATCGGGGAGGCCTTATGTTCGGGGGAGGCCTTATGTTCGGGGAGGTCTTATTTTGGGGGGATGTCTTATATTTCAGCGAGAGGCAAAACTGTAAGTAGGTCTTATTTTCGGGGAATGTCTTACTTTCGGGGAAACAGGGTACCTCCACTGTTGTGCTGATATTATTTATTATTTGAACTACAAACTGTTCCCTCCAAAACGTGGCAAATTAAATTCAATGTAGGTAAGTGATGCACATCGGAACAAAACCTCCAAACTTTAAGTATATGCCAATGGAGTCTGAACGTGCTGAAACTGATGGGGCAAAGAGATCTTGAAAGTCACAGTGGATAGTTCAAAGAAAATGTCAAGTAGCATGCCACAGCACTGAGAAAAGGCAAACTCCATGTTAGGGATTATTAGGAAAGGGACTGAAAATAAAGCTGCCAATATCATAATGCCCCTCAATAGATATATGGTGCACCCTCATTTGAAGTACTGTGTACAGTTTTGGTCGCCTTATCTTAAAAAGAATATTGCAGAAATGAAAAAAGTACAGAAGAGAACAACCAAGATACTAGAACTTGAGGGCATCCGAAACTGATTGGCAGTAGATTCAGGACAGACAAAAGGAAATACTGCTTTACACAGAAAGTGATTAAAAGGAGGATGTAGGCACAGGCATAGACAGCTTTAAAAGGGGATTACACAAGAATCATGGAGGATAGGTCTCTCAGTGGCTACCAACCATGGTGACTAAAGGGAACCTCCACGTTCAGAGGCAGTAAACCTTTGAATCCCAGCACCAGGAAGCAACATCAGGGGAAGGTTTTGGCCTCTATGCCCTATTGTTGTCCCTCCAGAGGAACTCGTTGGCCACTGTGTGAGACAGATACAAGCCCTAGTGATAGCCTCAGTTACAAATCAAATTACAATATGTCATTTTTTCAATATTTAATGTCTTAAACCTACAGAATTATTGGGCCGATACACTCAGATTTCCTTAACCTGTAGGTTCTTAATTCAATTCAGTTTGGGTTAAGTTTTTTCCCCTCCCCCCTTTTTTGTTTTCAGTTGTATATGCCCTTGGAACAAGGGGCTAGAGGGACAAAATTCCAGGGGCCCTGGGAACCATGGAGCTGCTCATGTGGTTTACTTTCATATGCTGTCCGAGGAAGGGACCCAGACGGGATATTTGCCTGGGGGCCCTGCCTTTGAATGCCTCTATGGGAGTACGGAAGTATTTTTAGTGGCACTAGCAATACATATGACGTTCTTTCCAAGGTTCCTCTCTTCTGCTTTGAGAATGCCTTGCACATCTCAATGTCAGGTGTCAGAATAAAGGTCAGGGAGGCCAAATTCTGAGCCTCATTTCCTGTGACACATACACTCTTCTTCTGTCTTTAGTGGCAGATGTGTACATATACACACATGCAGGAAACCTTCCTCTAGCCTGCTAAATCTCATGGGAAACTAAATCTGCTCCTCATGCTAGCTACCCCAGTCTGCTCAATTTTTCTACAGCCAGAAACACCACCCTTTATCCCCTGATGTTTGATAAGGGACTAGACACCACGTTCAAAACAGCCCATTCTCCACACAAAGATAAATGACTTGTAACAGTGATCCCAACTGGAGAAAACGACCATTGGTTACTCACCGTGAAGGGTCCTTCTCCTCTGAGGCTTGGAGGACATCTTGTGGGTGATTCCCATCCATCACTTTGGGAGGCAGGACTAATTTCAATTACTTCCTGTTTTCTGTAGTGGGAGTCACCCTAGGCTCAGTTCTGGTGCTCCAAAAGCAATACACTAACTTAACCACTGTAAAAAAGAGAACTTGAACATCAACAACAAGAGTATAGCCAAATCACAAACATTGGAACAGGAAGAAAAAGGTGAGTCCTCTCTCTCATGTAATCTTATTATTATTATTTTTAAATAGAGTGTGAAAGAACAGCATAGTAGATAGGGGAAATGACGACCTGGGAGGACCAAGATGTCCTCCAAGCGTCAGAGGAGAAGGACCCTTCACAGTGAGTAACCAATGCAATGATCATTCTCCCTCTGAGGTGGAGGACATCTTGTGGGACCTCCCAGAGCAGTGTCTCTAATTTTTGGGAGGGTGGTCATCATCAAGAGTTAGAACAGACTGCAGCACTCTCCGTCCGAATGCTGCATCAGCAGAGTCATACATATCTTGTAATGCCTGATGAATGTGGATAACAAAGACCATGTAGCAGCCCTACAGACCTCCTACACCGATGCCCTGTTGACAAAGGCCATATTCGTTGCAGCACTGTGAGGAGACTGGGCAGTGATACCTGCAGGAACTCGGTTCATACTCCTGTAGGCTACAGTAATGCAGGACCTCATAGTGTTGCTTATGGCAGAGTTAGACATCTTTCTCCCAGCACTCTGCTCACATCCAGTGTATGCCAAACTTTTTTCCTCCAGATGGGTTGAATTTGGAGAAAATGATGGCAAACAAATCTCTTGTGATCTGTGAAACTTAGTATTGACCTTTGGGGAAAAAAGGTGGAATCTGTTCTCAGAACTACCTTGTCTTTGTGAAAAACACAGCTCCAACTGAATTGACAGAGTGCCTAGTTCCGAAATCCTCCTGGCTGAAGTAATGGCTACCAGGAACAAAGTTTTCATCCTCGGGAATTTGAGCATAATGGCTATATCGGCTCAAAGGGTTCCTTCATAAGAGCTGTGAGAACAGTATTAAGCTTCCAAGTTGTAAACCTATGTCTCTGTGGAGAATCCTTGAATAATGCCCCTCTGAGGAAACGGCGAATTTGAGAGTGCTGAGGGATGTTAAGACAATTGTACCGGGGCAGGACCAAAGCCAGGGCCACCATCTGTTTCTTGGGTCACTGCCCTGAGTCCGCTTACCAGACCGTCCTTGTAGGAACTCCAGTAGTGATCTAATTTCCGGCTGCAATGGGTCAGCCTTCCGCTGAGCCCATCAGACAAAGGCCTTCCAAGTAGTATTGTAGATCCTTG